GTTCTGTATTTTTCAAATTTTGTTTACTTTTCTAGTAAAGGTGGTGTAACATGTCAAAATTTTTCCATTATTTGTGCAGAAATAATGCTGGCAAGTATTCACAAAAGCTGGAATTCTCTGAGGACAAAATTGAGCTCACTTTTGCTACAAATTATTTAGGTACTATCTCATTTACACAAAATTATTTAGCTTCGTTCCTGTCATTTTTTATTTTTTATTTTTAATAAAAATTTGAACATATGCTATGAAATGTCATACTTTTTTTAAAAAAAATATGAATTTTGAAAATATACATATCTGTTGAAAATGTACGTTAGTCTAACCGTTACGTTTAACTAACAACAGTCTTAAGGAGTGTTTTATAAGGATACAATCATAATTTATCATAAATTAAGTGCAAACTTGTAGCAATTAAGCATATAATAAATTATGACATTGGAAGGTACTAATTGTATTTTGTCTGGTTTTCTTTTGTTTTCCCTTTTCTTTTGGTCGGATTTATTTATTTATTTATTTTTGTCTGGTTTTGTTTTGTAAGGTCATTTTCTGCTGACAGAGATGCTTTTGGGCAAAATGGTGGAGACAGCTTCAGAAACACAAATCCAGGGCAGAATAGTAAATGTCTCCTCTGTGATTCACAATTGGGTCAGGAGCAAAAACTTTTGCTTCAACAAAATGCTTAGCCCAAAAAGGTAAAACAAACCCGGCCCACAATCTTAATATTCCTTATCTTTCTTTTTTCATTTTAAAGAAATGGAAAGCATAATTTAAGTCTTTTTAATTGACAATTTAGCTATAACCTAGAAAACATCAAATGATACAACTTATGAAAATATTCACAATTATTCTCAACCAATGCATTGACGTGTGTACTAAAATAAATTATTTTACTAAAAGATATCAATATATCAATTTATGTTGACTCCATAAAAGAGTAATTCAATGTTTCGTAGAATTGATACTTTAGTTGATTGTTATTTAAAGCTCGAAAATATTATATAACACTCGTATAAGAATACTTATATTCTAAAAAGTATAACAAGTCGACTCACTTAACCTGTGAAACGCCTTGACAGAATTTGTGATCTCTAGCTCATATAGCATAGCCCAAACTTGATTGGATTGCCCACAACAAAGTCAAACTGAGATCACTAAAGTTCAAATATAATGAACTATCATGAAAACTCACTTTCATTTTTGAAAGATAAACCCCAATCTTATTTTCACACACACACACACACAATCAAAAAAATAAGTTGCAAGTTTATAACCTTTAGTTTTTCATTCTTCATTTTTCCTCAATATATAATATAATTTTTCCAAAAAATGTTCTTAGCCAACCCTAACGAATTATAAGTCGTCATACATTTCAATATAGACTATGTTTGGTTACGAATTAAACAAGTTTATAGCTTATCATTTAGTTAGCTTATAAGATTCCTATATTCAAATAAACTTTGTTTGGTAGGAGGAGTTTTTTTTAAAATGCTCGAGCTTATCTCATAAACTTCTTTGGTAGCTTTGCAAATAAGCTTGTTGAAATTTTTATTTAATTCAACTGTCTTATCAGCTAATTTACCAAACATTTTTACCATATAAGCTAGCTTTTCAACTATAAGTCATAAACTATAAGCTTACTTATCAACTATCAACTAGCTTATCTACCAGTTTTACCAAAGATAGCAACCTCAAACGCCACTCTCTAAATAAAACATACACAAAATAAGTATGCATTTTTTTGTTCGAAAAATATGATTAATCGACTTTTCTAAGAGTCGGTCTGCTCATACGTACAATAATCTGTCTACTTTTTTTTTCACCCAAATTTTCTTTAATCTTTGGTCCTCAATTTACCTTTCCCCTCGGTCAAAAGCTTATATTATTACTGCATGCAGTTACAACGGCACTCGGGCTTACGCGCAGTCAAAAGTAGCCAACATATTGCATGCCAAGGAACTGTCAAGACAACTTAGGGTAAGAAAATCCCTAGAAAGATGGCTTATTATTATTATGTTGTCATATCAAAATCTTTGCCATTTTCAGAAGGGGCATGCAATAAGAGATTTTATTTGTCTCACTTTATTTGTTAATGCTTTTCTAATAATTTTGAAGCCCCCTTTTAATTTTATTTATTTCTTTTATATTTTGTCCAGGCAAGAAAATCAAATGTTACTGTCAATGCTGTGCATCCAGGGATAGTCAAAACTGGAATTACTAGAGACTACAAAGGCTTTATTACAGGCATGCATGCATTCTATCATTATCCTTTGAAAAAATTGACCACATTTTTATTTTTGGATTTAGTCCTTTCTTTTTGGCCTTTTTGGGTTTTCAGAAATAAAGGAAAGACAACTAAATATATGTATGTTTGTTGTGTTCTATTTATTTATTTATTTTTTTTTGTTTCAGATTCTTTTTATTTTGTGGCATCCAAGCTGCTGAAGTCAACATCACAGGTTTGTCCAATGGACATCACAGATTTTGATGATTTAGCTTATAGCTAATAAGTTAATGCCTTATAAATGAATTTCGAACTTATAATTATAATAATTTATAATATGTGGTTGAAAAACTAACTATTTTAATAAAATTGTTTGATAAAATCAATTGATAAGTAGTTGGCTAAAATTTTAGTGGGTTTTATCGAAAAACTGCCTAGATACAAAATATTACATAAGTTATATTAATGCTTGTTCCATGTTCCATTGGCAATTTGGGCAAAGTGTCATTATCTTGGATAAATGTCAAATTTTGAAGAAAAAAAAAATAATGAAATTGAATATGATAAAAGATATTATAAGCTCTTATATTATATTTTTTCTTATTAACTTAAATTTTATTATTTGTGTACATTTTCAGGGGGCGGCCACAACATGTTATGTTGCATTAAGTCCTAATATTGAAGGATTAGGTGGCAAATATTTTGCCGACTGTAACGAGACTCAGTGTTCACCGCTGGCAAACGACGACTTTGAAGCTAGGAATTTATGGAAGCAAACTCGTGCTTTCATAAAAAGGCGATTTTATCTGCCCGTTACCCCAGATATGGACAGCTAATGACTCGATTTTACGAAAAAAGAAAAAAAAAAGAAAAAAGAAAAAGAAAAAACGTGGCTAGTATTTAGACATGTAAATATTATTACAGTCTATATTTGAAGACATGAGGCAATTTTTACACATTATGGTCTATTGTTTGTGATAGCCTTAGCAAAATTATGGAAAAACAGGGTAAATAAGAATGGTCTTGATTGTTGAGTGCACAATAAGAATCACAAGTTCTTGATTGTTTGTGTATTTTTCTCTGTAGATTGTATTGCATAATGATAATAATACTATTTGTGTTGTTATAGTTATTGTATGCAGTGATATACAAAATTATCTTTTTGCCACAATAATTTGATCCTCACATGAATACATAATGGATTGTCATTTCTTGTTAACTTCTTGTGTTATAAAAAAAGTTGAAAATAACTGGTTATTTTTCAGACATGGCAACTCATCAGTCATTTGGTCAAAATTAAAAACTTCCAGAAATGTTCTCAGTGTATTTAATATTTATTCACAGAGAAAAAGAAAAAGAAAACTTGCAACTTATATTATTTATGGTTTGAAAGTTAAAAGTATTTTATTTGGTAAAAAATACAATATAAATTTCACAATTATTTATAATATACTCCTTCAAGTGTATCTTGACCACAAAATTATACAAAAAAAAAAATATATATGATTTTGGTAAACCTCAATTTGTAATTTAGCAAAAGATATAATGTACTTTCAAGTTTAAAAGCAAAAAAACGCGGATAGTACGTGTTGCAAATTTTCTTATTCAGTTGCTCATAACAGAAAGACGCATTGCCACAGTTACATTACACTGGGTTGTTAGTATAATCCACCATCGAACATCAATATAACAAATTGAAAGAAAAATTTAAGTTAATTACACAGTCAAAAAACCAAACAGAAGTTTACACACTACATCAGCTATATAGCACATTTACTCAGTGGTCATGACTGAGAAAGTTGATTATCAATCATCTTCACTTCTTACCCTGCAAAAAGATCCCATAACTGATTATAAACAAAATGAAATGCATAAAAAAAGGTCAAATCATCAATCAATGTCATGTTTTAAATCGGTTTTTAAGTTACCCTCAAACGTTCTGAACGACGACAAGAAGAAGATTGGGGAGAGATTCCTTTACTGACTTTTCTCGATTTGCTTTGAGACTCGGGAATTTCTAGTTGCTCCATTTCCTTGCGTGGGGATTGAAGACTATGATCGGTTGAAACTGGAGATACAGGGGCAGAAAGGGAAATTACCGAGGGATCTTGATCATTAGACGAGAAGCGCTGAGAAATCCCTGGGTAGTTTGCATGTGATATTAGTATTATTACGAACAAAACATTATGAGAAAACCCAGTCACATTTGACTCTGCCTCGAATTTGAGATAAATGTATAAGGGGTGGTTACTAAATTTGTTTACTTTATGGGAAACACATGACAGAATCAAACCTAAAGGGTTTTTTTCGGAACTTTGAAACTTTTCTATTTTGATAAATACCGCAAAAAAGAGGAGTTATTATTATACACATCCATTTTTCCTGCTAAAATCAGTAAGACATGAAAGATACAAGATGATACTACCTCTTGTTGCAGATTCTTGAAATTTCTCTCTCATCATCCTCACAAATTTGAACAGTCCATTGGTTTTGTTCAACTCATTGACCATCTTTTTTGTGTCACTCAGAGGTGGATCACATTTGAGCACTGAGAGAGAGTACCCAGTGAGAGACTTATATAATATGATTTCTTCAATTGGGAAAAAAAAAAAAATCAATCAAGATTGTGCATATTTGCTTACAAGTGTAGATGTCATTCTCATGGCGAATGGTAAAGGAGTACTCCTCCTGAGGGTTCTCTCGGTTGATGTTAGAGAAAATGAATTTCACACCTTCATGTTGGGGGCAAAGAGAGAAAATTGGAAAAAGAAGTCATCAAAGAGAAAAATGATAAACGATAATTCACATGCTTTGAGCAAAGTCTACGAAAATTTACCGTGACCACTTTCGATACGAAAACCAAGGACCCTGTTGTACCATGAAATAGCCTCCTGTATTTGTTCTCGGTGTTCTTTGTTTTTAGAACACTTTTCCTTCGAAGTTGTTAGGGCTAGTATAAAAATAAAAAAAAAAATAAAAAAAAAAGCACAAATGGAATCAGCTCAAATAAAGGTTTAATTTATTTTATAATCAAGAAAAAAAACCAACAGCAACACTTTGGATAGCAGAAGAAAAAACAAAGGCCAAAAAGATAGAAGGAAATGGAACACAGCAGGAAATAAGAACTGGTTAAACAAATAGATAATTAGCTTTAGGTTTCAATCCGAGATTAATTAACGTAAATAGCTGTTTCACAGGCATCAACCATCTTACAATACCATGAAGGCATGAACCTTGGCTAATATTTTCATTTTAGCTAATATTAATAACTGTTAGCAAAATGCTATTGGATTATCGAATGAGACATGAGTATAACTACAGCTATATAGAAAAGACGATAATAGTCACGAGATAGTTCTTTTTCAGACGATGTCTCATGCCCTTGATTTTATATGCCAATACTCAATAATACACCTGTAGTTACATATTCATTCAACTCCAAAGATTATTATTTATTTTATTTTCACCAGTTTCATCCATCTACATGGTAACTAACAAGAAGTTGTCTCTGCTAGATAATTAAGTCAAATCATATACAAGCAATGAGAACCATAAACTTCAGCCAACTTAATCAGCAGCATCGTTTTTAAGTATCATTTTAGGCACTATACGCTTGAAATAACACTATTTGACAATTTACTCACCTTCAAGCTGTTGAGATATTATAGCAGCATATTGATTCTTTTTGTCCCCTTGATCTTCCACGAGCCCTTTCAATTCTTCAACTCTACCTTGCGTGGAGGATATTGACTCCATCAATGCCATCCTCTTTGCCTCTTTACGCGTCTTTACTGAATATGCAGAAAATTAAGAAGAGAGCTATACCTTTCAGACAAATTACCCGATAAAGAAATGCTAAGTTGCTGAAACAATCAGCATGAAGACACATCTATTGTTGATGTAGTCACACATATGGATTCTGTCAAACAGGTTTCATAATATGTTTAACTCAATAAAATTCTCTTTAACAAAAAAATACTTAAAATTAGATGCTAACAGAATGGTACAAAACAAGAAACACTTAAAACTAAATTCCATTATGAAAACATAGAGCTTTAATGGAACATTAACTGGCCGTAGCACTGAGTCTACCTCTCAAATATTATTACTTACATTATATTTGGAGATGACTCATGCAAATGCATTTCATTAGTCACTTTACAGGTATAACATATGCATGTTCAGCATTTGATGAGTTGAACTTTTCAGCAAATTTTTATACATGAAAAACCAGTGAAATATGCCCAGTTTTCTCTATGCATTACAAATAAATTTTTACATCTCCATCTACAAATCATCTTATAAATACCAGTAGATAGCATTATTAACTGAAGATAGTATCCACTCTTTGACATAATAGATGATTCTCTACCTCATTGTAGAAAAGGAAACACACACTCACACACAGAGAGAGAGAGAGAGAGAGAGAGAGAGAGAGANAACATCTAAAAATTTGAAAAAGAAACACCCAAATCAAAGGGGAAGTCGGATAAATAAACCAAAACCCTAACTTTTGGTGCTCAAAAGCCCAGATGGAGTCGGAAAAAGGAAAAAAACAGAAACACAAAGAGGGATTACCTTGAGTCTGAATGGTTCTTTGCGCTTCAAACTTCGCCGAATCGAATCGAATTTTGGAAGCTGTGAGGAGAGAGTCGATCCTCTGCTGCTGAATGGGGATTTCTCGCTCGCACACCAAACGCCTTTCCGCCATTCGCGCTAGCACGCTGCCATTGGAGGGTCCCTGCATATTCTTCTTTGCGAAAAATCACTGTACAACTGTGTGTGTGAGGAAAAGGGGAATTTAATTTCAAAAGAGAGACGGTGAGTGTGATAGTCGAGTTCAGTCCGCCATTTCCTTTTTCTCCCGTGCTTTTGAATCTCATTTGAATCCCAAAAGCCGGTTTACTGAACATCCGTTTCAGATTTTTTAGGGGCAAATAGGGCAAAATGAATAACATAAAACACACAACGAAAATTACATATATTTGTCAAGCTTAACGAGCATTGGCGTGTTAATTCAAGCTCAACTTGTTAGATAAATGAATTATGAATTTATCAAATTAAAATGAGTTCGAGCCCAAATGAGTTAAACTCACGAACAATTTTTTTTTCGTTTAAGAGCTTTAAACATAAATCATCTCTAATCTCTCTGCATTAATAGCTAATGCTATATTATTAATTCTGTACATGTATATAGGCACCAAATTAATACATGAATTTTATGATGGAAGTATATAGGCACCAAATTATTAATTCTGTACATATATAGCATCACTCATACAACTGGAGGTTGAAAATGTTATTACGGTCCAGAAGTTACCAGGTTATGGACCTAGTCCATTAATTTGGCCCACAACGCGCAATTACAATCTAGGCCCAGCATACTTGCCCTCTTCTTGCCGAGGCCACGGGGCCCGGACTGATTCTAAAATCGCACGTGCTATGATAACTAACACTCGTAACTAGAAGTGCTAAAGAGTCGCAGTTAATTCTAGAACGATTTTACAGCTGGGAGAGAGTAGAGATTCTTGGTCCGTATATTTTTAGGCTAAATTGCATATTAAATGCTTAAAAAAAAATAATACTAATCTCAGTCTTATAATTTTGGCAATAAAAAGACTGAACTTTCAATTTCTGCAAATCGAAGTATAGAATCAACTAGCTAGCTACCATTTACGTGCGTCTAGTTATTTATTGTGAGGGTTGTACGATATAGTACAAGTGTACAACTGAGAATAGTAAATAATTATAGTGTTGTTATTGATGTTTTTATTCTGCACACCTAAAATTTATAATATATTTATTTATTTATTTTATGTGTGTGTTTGATTAATATTGTGATTAGTTGTTGTTATTCACTCTCAAAATATTAATTGAGTTTCTTATTTTTATTTTTATTTTTCATTTGTAACATGTTATTCTTTTCTCTCTATGTTAGATAGCGAGTTAGACACGTAAGTTTTCGACAACCGATTTGTTTAGCGTGTCTCCCAATTTGCAAAAATAAAAAAATTGTTTTCTTTTATACTCAAAATTAAAAGGTTAAAATTAAATTGCAAATAAACCAAGATGGTGAGATTTAATCTATTAAAAGATTAATAAATCTCAAATGAAGAAGATTCTTGATTTCTTCATATAGTAGCGTTTAATGGTAGCCCACAATTGCTAGCTGGACCATTTGCAAATAATAGGATCAGAATTGACTTTGATTATCAAAAATTGCATCTTATTTTGAAATGCATTAATTAATTAATTAATTTATTCATTGATTTTCTCATTTTTTTTTTTGAGAATGGGGACTTCATTAGCAGTTAGCACAAGGCCTATCAATCCAAAGTACACAAAATTATTTTTTAGTTTTTCATCAAATGAACACAAAACTTCATAATTTTGTAGGCAGCTGAAGACAAAAAAATAAAAATAAAAAAACAAATAATCATATCTTAACTTAGATTCAGTTCCTTATTAATATAATGTTTGTCGAGAAAATCCACGTTCTTGGTCAGATAAGTTTAGCTGTTTTTACTTGTGAAATTTTACGGGTTGACTGTGTCTTATGATATTTTAATACTAACGAACAGAGACAAATTAAAAAATAAATAAAAAAATTAAAGCCTGCCTTGGTGACCTGACTGAGATACACTTAATTTTTATTTTATTTTTTTCTGCAATTTGTTTGATAGCTGTTGTGTGTGTTTTCACTTCTCAATTTGACAAGCAACTGAAAAGCTGGTTTTTGGGGTCATTAATTAAAAGTATTGTAAATATTGGGTTTTATTAGTATTTGAATTTAATTTTCCTCTTTTTGTTTGAAAAAATCTTGAGCTAGAAATAAAACGTTCCGCGAACAAAATTTCGTTCGTTTTTAATCGAACCGAGTTTCAATGAAAACATAAACTTGTTTGTTAATCGAACGAACACCAGTATGTTCGTGAACGTTCGATAATATTCGCGAACAATAATTTTTAAACAAATATAAGGTCAAAAGGTTCAACTCGTTTATATATAGCCAAAATCGGTTCCGAGCTCGTTTCCTAGCAAAGGGTTGGATAGTTCTGAACAGGTCCGAACATATGCACCGGCCAGTTTCGTGAACCGACGGTTCCGGGCCAACCCGATTCACTAATAATAATAATAATAATAATAATAATAATAATAATAATAATAATAATTTTTTTAACAAAAAATAAAAGAAAAGAAAAGAGCTGACGTTCGAAGCCGACCCGACAATTCAAAAAGTATATACATGTGGTCTTGAACCGGCCCGGTCAAACCACGGGCTCGGTTCAGGGCCCATTGACTATGGGCCAGTACTAGACCGGTTCGGCCCGTTGTCGTGTCTAAGCTTGTTCAGTTCGATTACATAAATAGAAAAATACATAGCTTCATTAAGCGAGATTGTTACAATTCTCTCCAACTTCAAGCTCTAGTAAATAATGAGGCCAATGGCAAAATCATAATTTAATTAAAAAAAGAAAAAGAAAAAGAAAGCAATACACTCTCTTATATTATCATTCAATCAAAAACAATTTACATAGAATGGAGTCTTGGAGGGGGAAACTTTAAAACTTAATAGGAAATCAAATTTCTCACCCAATAAAAGCAATCTAAAAAATAAAACAAAACAAATTAAAAATCCTACTCATATATAGAAGACTGAAGAAGACCCAAAAAAGAATCAACACTAGCTAGAACACCAAATAATAATAAAATTTAAAAAACTAAGAATTATAATAACCATAATAAAAAATTAATTATTGACATCTAGGGTTTCTTCCGGGGCCTCCATAGTAAAAATAAGTCCCCCATGCATTGTTTTTCCATGCCCTAATATCATAACAATTTGGATGATCAGCCAACAAATGCAAGTTATTTGGAGGTATTAGGTTGTTGTCCCAATCCACAACTTGCAAGTTCCTAAAATAAGAGGCCTTTCCGAAGCCCTCGTCCGCAAATCGGCCACTGCCCATTTGGGTCGACGTGTGGGGCCCACTCGACCGGGAGTTCACGATCTCGCCGCCAAATTGCACCATGCTCGCGTGGCTTTGTAGGTGGCTAAAGAGGAACGTGGGCCAATAACCGACCAGTAGGCCCGGCCCGAACTCGAGCCACCAATTCCCGTGCTTTGGGTCCTGAGACACGATTGGAAAATCGAGGTTTTGGTTAGTCGATCATATTCATATTTTGTTAGAGGGTATGCGTTAATTGACCGAACTTTTATCGATCTCTTTCTATATATGAATGCGGATTTTTTCGAACTTAATTTTATCTCTTTCTATATATGAATGCAGATTTTTTCGAAGTTTAGTGTCAATTTTTGTTAGTGTTTCGAATAAACCCATATAAGTTTGACATTTTATTCATACTTATAAAACATTTGACTGATATAATTAAATTCATTTTTATAGCTTAATGCAGAATTTTTCGAAGTTACAATTTTTGTTAGTGTTTCGAATCAATCGATATTGGTCTGAAATTTTATTCATACTTATAAAACATTCTACAAATATAAATTTATTTTTATAGCTTAATATATGTTTTTTTTAAATTAATTATAAGACTAAGACTTTGTTACATGTTAAATCTAATAGTAAAAATAAGGTGTAACTACTATATATTATTTTATTCAATAGAATAAATCAAGGAAATGTTGCCCATTTTTTCCCCCAAGCATTAGGAAAATTTTGTGGAAAAAATATGTGTTATCCTCTTGTTTTTAAAGAAACAGGTGAAATGTCAGTCTTATAATAATAAGCTCATTAATGAGGGAGAAATTAGTGATAATAAACTATAACTCTTAACTTCAAGAACTAATTGTCAATTAGTCTGATTGAAGAGAAGTTTGAAGTCTATAACACATACAAGGATTAGACTCTCAAATATTAGAGTTAAAAAAAGATTTAAATAAACATATAAAGGTTATTTGTTTTAATGCTAAAAGTCTTTATTTGATTTCATTGTTTGTCACATGTTCAAACAAGATGGATTTAAATATAAGTACATATAATTGTCAAACCTCGTAAATTAATCAAATTAATTAATCTTGCTGGTCCTTTTNAAAACACTAAAAAGGGTCTAAACCAATGGTCTTTGGTAAACAAGAGAATCTTACACGTTTTTCTTTTGCTGGGACAGTGAGAAAACTATAGAGGCTATAAATAGTTAACTACTAATTATAGGTTGTTAAATTAGTTAACTAAAAGCGTGTCGGTAGATTTGAGTATTATTTTCTATTCCATGTACACTTAAAAAATTAACACAAGGGCCCAAATGTATTAGGAATTTTGACTGAAACCTATATATAGTCTCACTATTTACTAATTTTGTCCCCATAATTACCGCATTTCACAAATCGGCACTTACAAACCAAAAAATTCATGCTGGTATGAAATTTTTTTTGGTTAGATCAACGAAACTTTACGAGGAATTCTGACTGAAACCAATAGTTTCACTATTTACTATTCACTCCCCATAATTACGGAATTTTATAAATTGACACTAACACTCATCTCACTGAATTTGCCAAAATCAAGGTGATTTTTGTCCATTTATGGTGCAAGAAACTACCAACTTGTAAAAATCCGTAAAATATGGGCATTGAAGTGGTCAACTTTAAAACAGAGCCAATAGTTCATTGACTTTTTTTCTTTTTCTTTTTTTTTTTTTTTTTTTNATCTTTTGCTACTTATTAAAAAAAATAACCAAAAACAGTGACTTGAACTACTAGAAAAACTTCATTACCTTCCATATCATAATGCCAATATCATATTGCCTTGTGTTGTACGATGACCTTGGAGAAATTGCAGCTCCAATTGCGATTTTGTTGTTAATTTGAATGAAACCCGAACATAGTAGATTATAGCATCCCGTCGCTTGATACGCATCCGTCTAATCGTTTAACGATGTAAAAAATTTATAAGATTTAATTACATAATTGCATATAATTTGAGAAAATTAGGTAACCATTGATTTCTTGATGAAATATAGTACTTACTGTCCAGTAGGTGAAAAACCTTGGATAGTTGTCTCCATATAATTCTGGGCTCACCTAAATAATGTTAAAGATCAGAGCAGTTAGTTTATAAATCAAGTTACCTATTTACAAAAAATAAATAAATAAATAAAGTTACCAAAAAAAGTCAGCTGTCATTCTAATTAATTAGGTGTGCTTGGTATATATTGAGAGTTGAGAGATAATGAAGATATTTTTTTTATTTTTTTTTATGGTTTACACTTTCACATTTCTTGTTCATTCCATTAGATGAAACACACGTGTACGTGAAGTCATACTTGTATATGATTCATTCATCCAAATTGAATGAAATACGAAACAAAACATGAAAGTGGAACTGAGAATCGTCACAATTTTTATAGATAACTTCAACACAGTATTGCGGTCGTGTGACGACTTAGAGCTGCAAATGAGTTGACCCGAGCTTGAACTCGTTGAGTTAACGAGCCTTGAGTCGAGGTCGAATATTAACAAATATTATAAAACTTAAAAGAATTTACATAAAATTCCCTACTTTCAAGCCTAACGACCCGAGCCAAAATTAAGTTGACGAGCAGTTTTATTAACTCTGGGTCAGACATTAAACATGTATCCAATTTTCAAGGCCATTTTTGTATTCTTTTTCTCAATTACTTGGGAAGTTAATTAACGGCCATAAATATAGGGTAAGTGTACAAACCTGCCAACCAGCTTCAATTGTGTTGAGATCATTACCAAAAGAACCAGAAATAACCCAAAGCTGTGAAAGGCTGAATTCATATTGCTCTGTAACTTGAGGTGCCCACACATTTATGCTTGCTTTTGCTCCATAATATTGCTCTCCATTCACAAATGCCACTGCGTGCTGTGTGTGTTTTTTCAATCATGATAGACAAAATGCAATTAGGAGAATCTATTAGTAAAAATTCAATCTTTGAAATAAAAAATGCAACCATTTTTTTGCCTAAGGAACAAAGTTTTTTCTTGAGTTTGAAAGGCTAACTAACATGTGAGAGGGAAAACATAGGTGATAGTGAGATGAGATGCCAAGAGATGCAGAAAAAATAATTTATAATCTATAAATGGTTATATTTGTGGACTTCATAATTAAGACCAATCAATCACTTTGCTGACCTGACCTCCAAAAGTTTTGAAAAAAATCTCATAAATAATGTAAAAATAGTTTATATAGGCTCTCAAGTATGAAAAACTCCAAATGTTTATGTTGTATTATAGAATAGGTTGCAGATAGAAAATCCACATATTTTGAGGTCTAATAGTACTTAGTAGCCAAAAAAAATAAAATAAAAATAAAAGAAATTATTCCAATTATGAAAAATGGCTGAAAGTTGTTTTTCTTGTACACAAATGACAAAACAGACAAAATCAGTTAGCTTTCATAAGTACAGATATGCACTTTGACATTTTACTGTTTAGTAAAACTACATATCTATGAAGCAATACTTGTAACAAACTTATGAAAGACCATTCATTATGAAACCAAAGAAAAAAAAGAACAAAAAAATCATAATTAGATAGAATCTCAAGGTTAGTTTTTGTAACTACCCTCAAAAAATTTCATTTTGCAGATTAGCTTTCAAACACTTTACTTAAAGTACCTCATGATCACTGCTTGTGGTATCTCTTCTAACTCCCCTTCTGATTTTTCTCCCGAACCTCCGAATCGAACTCGCTCTCAGAACATCTTTCTCGGTTATCCTTCTTATTGGAATTGTCTCTTCCGGACAAGATTCGCCGCCGTTCGTCCATGCCTGAAAAACCTCGGCAACCGAGTCGCCGGAATTATTCGTTTTCGGCCTTTCCGGTGGTTCCTGCATTTTTTCACAACCCCCCCAAGAAAAAGGGAGACAAAAGAAAAACAGAACATTTCATTAATAAATGTAGCATATGTTAAAAATGAGCTGGAATTGTATTTGTACTAAATTATTGTATCAAGTGAATTTTATATATATATATATATCTTCAAAAGCTTTCTTACCAATGGCTTTTGACCTTTGAGCTGAGGATGATCAAAAGCTGGCTGAAGATGAGATTTTACACAATCTATTAAATCACCATCTGGGCTCTGTTTTTCAAGCCAATAAAACATCAAAGATTTAATCTTTTTACAGTGTAACACATATAAATAAATATTAATAATACTAATTTTAACACAATCTATTATTTCACCATCTGGGTTCTGTTTTTCAAACCAATAAAACATCAAAGATTTAATCTTTTTAGAGTGTAGCACATATATATAAATAATATTAATATTAACACAATCTATTATTTCAACATCTGGGTTCTGTTTTTCAAGCCAAATTTTTTTACAATGTAACACATATATATAAATATTAATAATACTAGTATTAACACAATCTATTAATTCACTATCTGGGTTCTGTTTTTAAAACCAAAAAAACATCAAAGATTCAAACTTTACAATGTAACACACATAAATAAAGAGTAAAAAAATTATTAATAAGTAAAAACCTGAATTGTCTTGACTGCAGGCTTGTTGATCTTTCTCAAATAACTTCTAACTCTCTTCATATTTCGCAACTCGTGGAGCGGCCGGAAAGTCCGGTTCGTTCGCGAACCAAAACAAACGGGCGTGTACTGAGACAAAAATACGAAGAGGAAACAAACAAATGTGCAAATGATTGGCGGTTTTGTGCTTGTTTGAGGTTTGGAACAAGAGGAAGAAGCCATTTTTGTTTGTTTTGGAGCTACCAAGGTTTTGGTTTTTTTTGTTGTTGTGTTTGTATGCATTTGTGTGTTGTTGTTGTCTTTATTGTAAACAAATGTGATGAGCAACAAAAATTTCGATCATATTCCCAAATTTTGTCTATGGAAACTTAACTAAGCTAGCAACTATCACAAAATGATTTATTAAANTTTATTTTTTTTCCCTTTTTTTTGGTAAAAAGAAATGCTTTTTCAAGCTATAGGTGTGAGTAAACGAGTTGAGTTGAACTCTAGCCTTGATACTCGAGCCTTTATCAAGCCGAGTCGAGTTTTGCTTGTTAACTTAACGAGTTAAACTGGAGTCGCGAACTATGGAAAAACTATATAAAAATTCATATTTTCAAGCCTAACGAGCCGAGCCATTTTCACTGACAGGTAGGTTTTGTTTAACAGGTTTAGGTGTGGTCCTGTTTCATGTTCCTGTTGCTGTAGGTTCAGTTTTGGTGCCCAAGAACTTATAGCTGTAAAAAAAAATTACCACATATGCAACAACCAGTTATTGCTTTCCAGTTTGAGAATGTCTTTGCTTTACTACAAAGCATATAGTGCTCTACAAGTATGTTACTAAAGCTTTATTCTTCCTTTTCCCATTTGTCCTTGTATAACAAACTTGTGAATTGTCCATTTCAATATTCTATTTTTTGTTCCTTAAAGTTTTTTCACTTTAAAAAGTTTCATGTATGGAGTTTGAACACTATGGGTTGGGCTTGGTTAGTTTGGCATAACTTCAAAAAATCATTTCTATTTCCTTAGCTTGAAATATTTAGAGTGTAAATGAGCCGAGGTTAACTAAAAACAAGTTCAAACTTGACCTATATAACAATTTTAACCAGTCAGATTTGAGTTTTAATAAGTCGAATTACAAAAATTTATATTAAAAAACTCTTATCTCGAGTCTTAACGAGCTTGGCTTGGTAACTAAATGATATCTATAATGATGTAGCGCAGCGTAAACGAAAAGAGAACAAGAGATAAATCTCAAGAACTCATAAAATTATTCATAAACATCCAATGTCTTCAAATGAAAGAGACGATCCAACTATTCTTAATCCTTATCTTGCTAATCAAGTAAATAATAATACCTATGAAAAGAGAATAAAGCATAATAATAAAATATCTAGGAAATAAATAACTAAACTAAAGATGGTAAACGATCATATTTTTCCATATATGCCATCGCGATCTCGTCTCCATCATCCTCCCCCTGTTGGGAAGGATTCGCCCTCGAATCCAGGCCGATCTCGTCTTCGTCTGAGTTATCACCGAGGTAAGGCACCAAATGTTTGACGTTAAAAACGTCGAAAGTCCGAAGATGGGAAGGTAAACGAAGACGGTAGGCGTTGGGATTAATCTTCTCGAGGATCTCAACAGGACCAATTTTACGGGCCGACAGCTTATTGTACTCATACGCCGAGAAACGATCTTTAGTCAAAACCGTCCAGACGAAGTCGCCCACCTCGAACTCCACATGGCGACGCCGCATGTCGGCATGCTTCTTAAAGGCCGGCGGTGACGGTCTCCAAACGAGCCCAGGCGGACTCGTGAGTGCGCCGTAAATCCGCCATCAACTCCTCGGCACGAGGCTCGGCCGCCGCAGCCGATGGCAAGGCGAGCAAGTCCGCGGCCCCTCGCGGACGGACGGCATAGACCACCTCAAACGGGGAGAAGCTCGTCGCACGACTCCGAGCCGAGTTATGAGCGAACTCAGCCTGCGGGAGTCGTTGGTCCTAACTCTTCAGATTCTCGCCCACCAAACAACGCAATAAATTCCCAAGGGACCGATTGACGACCTCCGTCTGACCGTCAGTCTGAGGATGATAAACGCTACTGAAGTCTAACCGAGTGTTGGCTAGACACCACAAACTACGCCAAAAATGGCTAAGAAAACGCGTGTCACGGTCAGAAACAATAGACGATGGTAGGCCATGCAGACGATAAACCTCCCGAAAAAATAAAGTAGCCACATGGAGGGCATCTGCAGTCCTCTTGCACGGTATAAAATGGACCATCTTAGAAAAACGATCGACGACCACAAAGATAGAATCATTACCTCGTTGTATACGAGGCAAACCCAGGACGAAGTCCATTCTAATAGCAGTCCACGGACGCGAGGGAATCGGTAAGGGCCTGTAAAGGCCGGCATTGGACGCCACAGCCTTAGAAACTTGACACGTACGGCAACGCTCCACGAAACGAGCCACATCCCGATGTAACGAGGGCCAGAAAAAGGAGCGACTGACCAAGTCAACAGAGCGATCGTGGCCCACGTGCCCAACACCATGAAGGTCCGCCACCACCTTCAGACGCAGGCTACAGTCGGGAATACATAACCGAACAACACGAAATAAGAAACCATCAGAAAGAGCATAATCATCAACAGGGCCAGAGGTAAGGCGAGAAAAAATGGGCCCGAAAAAGGAGTCTGTAGCATACAGATTCTTCAACAAATCAAACCCCACGACCTCAACCCGCATATCAGTCAACAATAAAGAACGGCGACTCAAGGCATCTGCCACACGATTCGAAGCACCCGAGCGATGCTTCAGAACAAAAGTGAACTGCTGAAGATAAGATGTCCATGTAGCATGGCGAGAAGAAATATTACCTTGAGAGCAAAGGTGGCGAAGGGCCTCGTGGTCTGTGAACAAGAAAAACTTCCGCTGAAATAATTAATGCCTCCAATAATGAACGGCCCGAAACACAACATAGAACTCAACGTCATATGTGTTGTAGCGTAATCGCGGGCCCGACAACTTCTCACTAAAGTAAGCGACAGGGCGCCCCTCCTGGCTCAACACAGCACCAATTCCGACCTTCGAAGCATCAAACGAAAGCTCAAACGGAAGAGAAAAATCAGGAAGGACCAAAACCGGGGCAGATGTGAGCTTGCTCTTGATAAAATCAAAAGCATCGGCGGCCTGAGGGGTCCATACAAAGAACTTGCCATGAAGACAGTCCGTGATAAGAGCGGTGATAGAACTAAAATGTGAAATGAAACGTCGGTAAAAAGATGCTAACCCGTGGAAGCTACGCGTCTCCATTAATGAGGTAGGAGTCGGCCACTCCTGAATAGCGGCGACCTTGCTGTCGTCCACGCGAATGCCAGCCGCTGAGATGACAAAGCCCAAAAAGAGGACCGAGTCGACCACAAAGAGCACTTTTTAGGCGCCGCATAGAAGGCCTCGGACCGCAGTATCTTCAAAACCGAACGAACATGCTCCAAATGCTCCGAAACAGTGCGGCTATAAATGAGGATGTCGTCGAAATAAACGACGACACATCGCCCAATGAGATCGCGCAAGGCTTGGTTCATCACACGCATGAAAGTGCTAGGTGCATTAGAAAGACCAAACGGCATCACCAGTCACTCGAAAAGACCCTCCCGGATCTTGAAAGCGGTTTTCCACTCATCGCCCTGCCGGATCCGAATCTGATGATAACCACTCTGAAGATCAAGTTTGGTAAAAAACCGAAGCTCCATGTAACTGGTCCAATAGGTCATCGAGGCGTGGAATAGGAAACCTGTAGCAAACCGTGATCTTATTAATGGCATGGTTGTCAACGCACATACGCCACGAGGCATCCTTCTTTGGAATGAGCAGGGCCGGCACCGCACACGGGCTCAAACTGCGACGAACAACCCCCCGTTGTATCAACTCCTCCACCTGGCGCCTCAACTCTTCGTGTTCAGCTGGGCTCATACGGTAATGTGGACGATTAGGCAGAGAAGCACCGGGTACTAAATCGATATGATGTTGAATGTCCCGAAGCGAAGGAAGACCAGAAGGTAGTTCTGCAGGAAAGACATCAGAAAATTCATCAAGCAAAGGTTGAATAACAGCCGGCGGGGCCGTTGGGGTTGACAAATCAGTACCCAAAAGAAGCACGACACACGGTGCCTCCCGCAGTTCACCAACAAAGGCCGTGTGAGACAATAAAAGAACCTGTGGTGGCGGTGGCGGAGGCAAGGGACGAGGAGGTGAAGGATGAAGGACCAATCTAACTCCCTCAAACATGAAACTGTATGTGTTGAGACGACCGTCGAAAGCCACCGCGCGATCAAATTGCCATGGACGACCTAATAAGAGACGACACGCGTCCATGGGCACCACATCACACCACACCGAGTCACGATACTTGGGCCCGATGGAAAACTGGATCAACACTTGACGGTCCACTGTGATGGCGTTACCTCGCTGAATCCACGCCAAGGTGTACGGCTGAGGATGCGGTACCGTCGATAACTGAAGGCGATCCACAACATCTTGGGCCACTACGTTTTCACAAGAACCAGAGTCAATAATAAAACGACAAACACGACCACCTACCGTACATGTAGATTCAAAAATATGGTGACGCTGTAAAGACTCAGTAGTATCAGAAACTCGAGGTGCCAAACAAGAGCAACGAAGAACCAAAGCAAGGCCCTCGTCGCCACACAGATGTTCCTCCTCCGGGTCTGGCTCGACATCAAACTTTGGCGGTCCATCATAAGCAACCTCCGTCGAGCCGTCAAAGTCATCTGCCAGCAGAGCCCGAGAGCTGTTGCGGCGGGGACAGGCGGACTGATGGTGGCCGGCCTCGCCGCAGGAAAAATAGCGGGGACCACCTCCAGCGCGCGACCCCTCCATCCCGGCTGAGGCAGTCCCGATTCTGATGGCCGTACTGGTCGATGCTCCAGCCGTTGGAAATCCAGTCGGTCCGGTCGAGTTGCTGCGACCACCCGTCAACGGCGACCGGTTCAGCCCGGGTGACGAAGACGAAGCGCCTCCTACGCGCGGTTGAAAACCCGATGACGGCAAGGGTCGTCGCGACTGCTGTTGTTCAATGAGTAAGGCCCGTTGATGAGCGGCAGAGACGGTTTTCGGGGTGAATATGTTCAACATGTCGCGAATGGCAAGTCGCAATCCTTCTACATAACGGGACACTTTTTGAGCCGTCGTTTCACGTAGCTTGACACGCGTAAGAAGGCGATAGAAATCCTCCATATACTCGTCCACGGATCGAGCTCCTTGTCGTAGATTATGGAGTTGTTGATACGTGGTACTCATGTAGTTGAACAGAAGAAACTCCCGCTTGATATGTTTCCAGAATTTGGCCCACATTGCAATTTTAGGTTTACCCAACAGACGCCTCTCATCTTTGAGAT